TTGCTTCCCCTTCTGACATCACATCTGGTGATGTCAGGGAGTGTGGTATATGCTAATAGCCTAGTAGCTCATTAGCATACCATTTGCTAATGAGCTCCTGCAGCTCTTTTTCTACGAAAAGTCCCCTGGACATTGCTACTATACTTGCAGGAGGCATGGCTTCATGAAAAATTCAAGAGGAATATTGACTGGATCAGCTGTATGATGAGCGTGTCTAACTGCTGATAGAAACCAAGAGAAGGGGAGAATAATACTAGCTGTTCTAGTCAGTCAACCAAGGCAGCTGTGAGGAGACAAATCCAGTGTTATAGCTAAGAACACAATATGAGCAAGTAGATGTGAATTATAGGGAAAATGTGTACACTGTAGGAAAGTGTCATTTTAGCAAAATGTCACTATTGAAGAGGTTCTGAGTTGGAATTAGTTCTAAATAAATATGATCCAAAGAGCAGCCATTGGCCATTCCCAGTGGAATTCCTTTTTCCCCTTTGAGTAGCAAACCTCCCTACCGTATTTTAAACTACATCTGAACGTTGCCTCTGTTTCCACAGTTGATTTACCCTTGGATTGAAGCAGTTGCTATTTAAGAAATATAGCTCTAAATCATGCTTGGCCATGAGGTTTGTTTCTGTTCTTTGGATCCCAACATAATTAGGAGTGTAAAATGCTTCACATCATCTTACCCTTTTCCTGTAGTACTTATTTTATACCAGTTCTCTTAATATTTCCAGTTTGTATCCTTTATTTGTGAATTATATTAGTTTAGATCTTGTGTTCCATACTGAGTTGTAGGTATGACCTCACAAAGTGTGTGAGGTCACAGAGGCCATTCCATTCTTTCTTCTACTGTGCTGTGTTGTTCCAGCCTCCAGAGCACTTAAAAGGAAAAGGTAATTGATTCAGCCCTAACCAAGTTCATATATTAAGTGTGGTTATGGAGGATTTGGGCTCTTTTGAAGGAAGACATTTTACTGAAAAATTGCCTCTTGAGGCTTTTACGTCTACTTCTGAAGTTAAAGAAAAACTTCTGCTAGGACGATACAGGTAATATATGTCAAGAGGTACTTTTAGTTTTACCTGTAGCTTACCTGCTGCTCCCCCCCCCCTTACAGAGAACAATCTCTGTGTTTGAACAAGCAATTGTCCTACATTGTGTCAAGGACAGGCATTTGTGTACCAAGTAGTCATTTGAGATTCCATTAATAAATTATGGAGTGTATGTCAGGGTGAAGTGACACATTCCCTGAGCCTTTGGGGTAGGGCGGGATATAAATCCAAAGATAAATAAAATTTAAAAAATTGTCAATTAAGTTCAGATAAATAGATTTTTAAAAATGTTTCTGGACAAATTAACACCAATGTAATTTAGATGCCAAATGATCTGGACTTTTTAGATTTAATGATTTAGTTTGCTAAGTCACTTAATCTAGCCGGACTCTTATGCAGGGGTGGAAAATGGGTCTAAGTCAGTTTTTTCATCTTGGTCAGTAATTTGTCAGTTTTTTCAAAAAATTGGTCAGAAGTCAGTATTTCTTTGATTTTTGTGAATGCAGTTTGTGGGTTTTTTTGTTTTCATTACTGCATTTTGGGGGAAACATGATGACTTCACAGTGAGAAGACAGATTGTTTTTAGTTCAGTTATGAAGTACTTTAAGGACTTTGTTCCTAAGAGTAAAAGTGATTTGGTGAAATCTTCCACAATGTATAGAAACATAATTAACCTCTTAAAACATGAGACAATGAAAGCAGAGGTGATTTTTTGCTCAAGTGCCCGCTTATTTATAAAGTTCACTGGAGTGTTCCAGAAAGAAGAGCCTTTGGTGCATGTGATGCACAGTGAAGTAAAAACATTCACAACAACCATAATGAATCATGTTTGTAAGAGTTCAGCACCATTGTCCCTTGAAGCCTTCAGTGATGAGTACTACATACCTGTGAGAGAAGTAATCAGTGAACAAACTGAAAATACTTTCTGAAAAGGAACAGCTACTCATTTTAATGGGAGCAAAAGAACATTTCATAGCAGCCTGCAAACACCTTTTACTCCAGTCATCTTTGGACAAGCCCATCCTCAGATATCTTCAATGTCTAGCTCCAGCACAGAGGGTCAAGGAAGGAACCCACAAGGATATAATGAAAGTAGCAGCATGAATGGAAACTTGAAGATGAGACTGCCAGTGAAACTTGCCACATAGATACATACTGGAATCAGTTCTTTGAAAAGACACACCCATCTGGATATCCAAAATACCCACTGGTTACCAAGGTGGTGAAAGCAGCATTATCATTATTGCATGGTAGTTCAGACATAGAAAGTGGGTTTTCAAAAACTGGACACATTTTGACCAATGAAAGGGCCAGGATGTCAGAGAGAACTTTGAATGCCCACCTAATTGTCAAAGAAACTTTATATCATGTATATGAAAACAATGTATACCATGTTAATATCACAGCTTTTACAGATGGCAAGAGCAGCTCATGTTCATTACAAGCAATATTGTGATGAACTGTGTGTCATTAAAGAGGAGCAAAAAGAAGAAGAAAAGAAAGACGGGGGAAAGGCAGAGAAGTTAGAAAGGTTTAAGAAGGTAGTGAAAAGGATAGTATACAAGAGAAGGAAGCAAAACTGAAAAAGCTGAGACAACAGAACGAGAAGAGGATGATTGCTTGACTGTTGCTAAATGATGCAATCAAACGTGTAAAGGAGGCTGCTGAGAAAAAGGGTATGGTAGGATTCAACACAGCACAGCTCATGCTACAAGGAGAGGGGAAAGCGATGGAAGAAGAGGGCAAGGAAAAAAATGCTTGCGGATGCAGTGCAGAAAACTTTGCTCATGAGGTCTTTCCAAAATTGCTCCTTAAGGTTCTCTGTATTCTTGAGATCTCACAGAGCAAAAAAGAACTGGAAGAGCCATATCCGGCTAGGACAGTGAACTTGGTTAGGGCCTTCCCACACTCAGAAACCACTTCCTGTGGCCTTCTTTTTCCATCAGTTTTTGAGAAGGTTGTCAAGATAGCTCTTGCAAGGCCAAAAGCCGATCACCAAATTATTTCCTGGCTCTATTCCATGGCTCCAGAGGCAGTGGAACAGTTCAAACTGCCTGTACTCAGTGCTCCAATGGCAGACCAGACCTTCAACACAATAATCCCAGTGGATTCTGATGGGCTTCCCAGAGATCCCTGTGATAAAAGTATCAACCTGACACTCTGCAAGAACATCAAAGCATTCTTGGCAGTTTTGTGGGCTTCCTCAGCAGGCTCAATGTTCACTAAAGGAAGGCCTTGGATGCTGAAATGCATATGGTCTTGTGCTGGTCATTTGATATTTATCATCAGCTTTGTATAGGAAATTATAACGGCTTATGTAAAGCTTATTCTTGATGACTCTGAAAGTAGCCTGATATCCAGGGCCTATGTTTTAAATTATACTATTGTGTACACTTTGGATCAAATATATTTCTTTTGATACAGATTTTATTTGCTGTAGCTCGACCCTTGAAGCATTCTCACTGTTCACTAGATCCATTTATCTTTGGGCTTCCAACCTCTCCTCCACTGGGAAGACATTCTGAAGGAGCTCAAGGATGATTTACAGAGCATTGCACTGACAGCAACCATCACAGTAGATGTAGCCTTTAGCCACAGCCATGGCTTTCCATTGTCACAGCACACTGCAACACATGGCTGCACAGTTGAGAAGTCAGCTACACCTCCCAGGCTCAGGTGGCCAGTGTTCCGTTCAAAGGGGTCAATCTCTTTGGGGATGCCATGGATAAATATCTAGTGGAAGTAAAGATAAGAAAAAGTCACTGCCAAACCACAAGGAAGACTGCAAGCCTAAGGAGGGGTTTCAGTCCAAATTCTGGCTTTAGATCCTGCAGGGCTAAAGAAAAATGACAATCCAAACCCTCAACAGATTCCAGCAAGCCTTCCTCCAGTACCAGACGAGGAGGAAAGAAGCCCTCCTCAGCCTGATGCCAAAAACTCAACAACCCCCAATGACACTGGGGGCCACTGACTATGCCTTGCACCTGGGGCAGGGATCCTTTCTCAGAGTTTTTCACTTCCAGTCCGCCCCTGTTCACAGGGTTGTCATGAGGATAAAATGGAGGAGATAAGAATGATGTAAGCTGTTTTGGGGCTCCATTGTGCAGAAGAATAGGGTGTAAATGTAGTAAATTAATAATAATGATAATAATGATAATGATGATGATGATGATAATAATGATAATGATACATCTTGGAGGGGTAGATAATTCCACACATCTCTATATTGAATGTGATTGGATTGTTCAAGGGTGCAACACAGTTCCCTTCTCTCTCCCCAACTTCTCTGGGAGACTGCCGGATTTATATCTGCTTGTCCTTATCTGAGTTTACTCCCAGTTGGGAGATGTGCACAGATCAGCAGCTCATGCAAATACAGACAGTGTAGGTCCTTCTGAAGCCACACAAGTTTTACTTCTACACACCGTAAATGTTTGTTGATATTAATAAGGAATTCTGCCCCATACTTTAATTTTTAAAAAGTGCGCCACAGCTAGAATAAGTTTGAGAAATTGGTGCCCTGCTTAGGGTTGCCAAGTGTGATTTTCACCGCAGTGGGAAACTCCCGGCTGGAGTGTGCACGTGCAAAGCACGTGCATGCTGCATCCACATCACCCAGAAGTGACGCAACCACGCCGGGTACGTTGGGGGCGGGGCCACAACTATCCGAGGGGAAACCATAGAGTTTTCCCTCGGATGACCGTGGCTCTGCCCCCAGCGTGCCCGGTGTGGTCGCGTCACTTCGGGGTGACGTGCACATCGGGGTGGAGTTCCCCCCGGGGCCCGATCTGCCGCCGGCGGGGAACGGGCTTCTGGGGTGGGGGTTTCCCCGCCCCCTGGGGGGACATGGCAAGCCTAGCCCTGCTCCATCAGAGGCCTCAGCCCCTTCTCCCTTGCTGCCTATTATGTCTGGAAATAACGTTTGTTCTATAAACTGTACATGTACATTGATGGTGCTGGATAAATTTAAAAAAACATAGATAATAACCTTGAAATGCTTGATTTTTGTTTATCTGTTCCTAACTCATTGTTTTCCTGGTACAAATATAGCCCTTTACCAAGATGTTCAAAATAATCCCACATCCGCTACTACATTTCAAAGTTTCCTTCTTCCAAAATGTTTTAATTAATATTACACACCGTCACTGGGTTATTGGTACATGCCGTATGTACCATGTAGTTTGGTCCATCTGAGCGATGGAAACATGATATATTGGCCTGTATCCTACCACTCCACTAAACAAGGTCTGAAGCCTTCCTCCAGCCTAAAGTAGGATATTGCCAATTATTCTCAATTTGACTTGAATTACATCCCCAAATTGACTGTTATTCCCCAACTGAACTTTTCCTCTTAGATCAAACCAATTCAATGGCAAGCCGACAAAAGATTGATTGTTTTAGAATTTCACTCCCATGATTTAATAGTTCTGAGAAACCCTACTTGTCAAATTCAAAGTATTTGTCTTTACCTGCCTTTGGCTCATAGCATGAATTTGCATTTCTTTAAATAATCAAATGTCATCCTGGCTGAGATAACCCCTGGACTGCTCAGATAAATGGGGATATTGTCTGCTTTATAGATTAAATTCTCCCATTATCTTTCTCTTCCCAGGAGAACAGATACTGAGCTATGTGAATATATTAAAAAAATATTAGGCCATCCACTGTTCAAGTCTCTTATGATCAGCACCATCGTACTCAATGCAATATTTTTGGTTATAGAGACTGATTTTAAAGTTCGATCTGAGTCGCATTACTTCCTGGAGGTAACAAAAATCTCAGGCTATTGAAATGTATTAACTTTCTTTGATTTCTTTTTAAAGACAAAATGGGCTTTCTCTTTTCTAGAGGGTTAGATGAGAAAACAATAACAAAATGTAAGATCAATAAGGCAGAATTCCTCTCTCTCTTGACAAATCATGATGTGGGTATCTTATTTTTATATCACTGCCAACTTTGTAATCAGTTGAAAGCAATATCCAAAGATTATCCATATGTGATACCAGACGGGATTTTAAGGGCTACTTTGAGGAAAGTGCTAGATATTTTAAGACATATCGTAGACTAAGGGGTTTTCCACACAGTGTCACAGTGTCAGTTTTGATCCCATACTGCTTCAGATTATTCTAGGGTTGCCAGGTCTGGGCAGGAAAATACCTGGAGACTTTGAGGGTGGATCCGGGAGAGGGTGGGGGGTTGGGGAGGGGTGGGGCCTCATCACGGTACAATGCCACAGAGTTCACCCTTCAAAGCAGCCATTTTCTCCAGGGGAGCTGATCTCTGTCAGCTGGAGATCAGTTGTAAAAGCGGGAGATCCCCAGGCCCCACCTGGAGGCTGGCAGCCCTAGATTATTCCATCTTTTGCACATTCTCTTGGGTCATTACTTTTCACCTTGCATTTTTCCTGTATTTTTTTTCTTTTGGAACACTTCTAAGACCTGTATATGTGCTAGTAAATTGAAGTAGATATGGGGGAAGGCAGCATAGTATAGCCTAATATTCTCTGCTTGGAAGCCAAGCAGAGTCAATGCTTGAATGGGAGACCACCATGGAGCACTCTGCAGAGGTAGGCAATGGCAAACCACCTCTACTTCTCACTCCTCTTGAAATCCCTTTGCTGGGGTCTCCATAAGTCAGTAATGACTTTACGGCACTTAAATATGCAAACTTCAGTAGATAAGATGAAATGTTATTAAGGATTCTTAAGGACTGTAGAGTTAACCAACCAAACACGTGAAAAATATAGCAATGCTATTAGCCTTCTAGAGCATGTTACAAAGAAACCAATCAAAAGTTACCATTTTCAGTCTTTCTGAGAGGTATAAGTAGGCCTATCTGAGGCAGCAGTTAGTTGTTCAAGTGGGAGCAGATTCTGAGTGGCCTTCAGAGAAAGAAAACAGAACTAAACGTACCCAAGAGCTGCATGAAAAGGTCCCAGAGCCGGGACTGACCAGCAGAAGTTAATGAAATCACTGAATCTTTACCAGAGAATTCCCCCAGGAAGCAGAAGAAGATGGAGCAGAGAGGGAGCTGCTGACTCAGGGGGTGGCTGGATTGCCAAAGAAAGGGCTCCGCCCCAGTAGTCTGATAGCAGTGCTCTCCCCCCACCGCCCCCCACCCCGCCATCCAACCACCACCACTGCAAAATGCTTTCTAATTTGTAGGAATAAGAGCTTTGGGAGTGACTAAGCTTAAATTTATATGGGATAAGTACTAAGACTTTATCCATCTCTGTTTATCATTTCACAACAGTTATTTTAAACTGTTGTTAAATACAGTAATAAAATCTGTAGTTTGTTTGGATTCAAAGAGAGTTGAGTAGTTCCTTTTACTTGGAAATACAAGGGCCTAAGCCTTAACTACACTAACCAAGACCGAGAAACCTTATCGTAGGCCAATATTATTACCATTGCCAGAACCAGAACATCAGTGCTCTGTTTAGGATTCCCACACAATGAGGGAAGAGGCTAGAGACTTTTTTTTTATATGAAATCTGGGAATTTAGAGAACCTGCTAAGCCTATTATTAGAATGCTCTCGCAATGTATTGATATTTTAGGGCCTTTTTAAAAATGGGGTGCTGTGATGTATTGCAATGTATTGATATTTTAGGGCCTTTTTAAAAATGGGGTGCTGTGATGCCACTGATAACACTACTGATGATGACAGTATCCTCCCTTGAAAATCCTCATTATTGAAACCACGGTTTGCAAGGCCTGAGCAAGGTTGTTAATGATAGGGTGTTTTGGAGGTCATTAATTCATAGGCTTGGCGTAAGTCAAAAGTGATTTGATGGTATATAACATACATACATGTGTACATCTGTATTTCGGAAGAGACAATTGGGATCTGGACTAAATTTTCCACTCATACAAGGCACTTCTGTCAGTGGAACAGATCGTCCCTCCCTCCCTCCCTCCCTCCCTCCCACCCTCCCATGGAGTACAGTTATCTCCCCCAAGGGACCATCAAGAACAGCATGAGAGGCAAATCAAGGATCTGCCACCCCTTCCATTAGCAAACAATTCAGTCTGGATCCAGCCCAATAATACTGAAGAAAGGAAGGACAGGTTTGGTTAAATTAAGAGGGCTTGGTAAAATCAGGGCTATTTTTGGGCAGGAACGCACAGGAACGGAGTTCCGGCTGGCTCCTGAGTTGGCCACGCCCAGCAGGAACTCATTAGCATAATAGGCCACACCCAACAGCAGAAACTCATTAGGATTGGCTACATTAGGGGTGTGTGGCCTAACATGCAAAGGAGTTCCTGCTACAAAAAAAGAAGCAAAAGGTAGGTGTGGCTGGATGAGCACACTTCTGGTAACACGGGAGTGTGGCCTCATATGCTAATGACCTGTGCTGTCAGGGGTGTGGCCTAATATGCTAATGAGTTTCTGCTGTTGGGTGTGGCCAATTATGCTAATGAGTTCCTGCTGGGCTTTTTCTACAAAAAAAGGCCTGAGTAAAATATATTAAACAATATCAATAAGGCAGCTCTTTATGGCAGCCTTTTGATCTGACAATTATTTTGTACAGTGATATCCTGTATCATAGTTCCTTTCCCCACCTACTGCAGATTTATCATTTGTGGAATTCCTGTTGCACCATCAGACTTGAATAGAACTTACTGGCACATTTTTGAATTTGAAATGAAAGTGTTCATATTGTTAATAATCTCCGTCTCATGATTTAATTTTCCTCTTGAGAAACACTTATCTTCTACACACCTTGAATATTTTAGCTTACACAAAGTCAGCTACTGTACACAAACCTCTGGGCCTTAATTATATATCCTTGTGACATGGAAGCCAAAAGAGAAGTCTGGCTAGTGTCAAGAAGTCCATTCATAGCTTGCATTTAAAAAAAAAAGTCAAGCTTTTGAGAGGGAGAGGATTAACAAGTTCTCACACTCTATTTACAATGTGGACATTACTGGAAGTAGATAAATATTTTCACCTTCATTTCCTTACCTGTACTATATTTCCCAAAGAAGCTCACTAGTGAAATCGTGTTTTGATACTACTTTTTAATTACTTCTTTTTGCTGATCATCCTGTTGGCTTCCACCCATGTCACAGTACTCCCACTTTATAACAACAGAAATCATGAAGTCCATGTAAGGATCATGTCCATGAGTCCATCATTAAGGAATTACTGACTAGGGCACCTTTTCTTGGTCACTAAAATAGACGGTCAGCTGTCTACTCACGGACTCAGTTAAGGGCCCAGGTGTTATAGTGGACCTAGCATTAGTACTGAAGAAGCAAGTTAATTCAGCTTCAAAAAATGCTTTCTTCTATCATCGTATAGCCTGGAAGATGGATCCATGCCACGGTAATTTTGAAGTTAGGCTATTGTAGAGCACTGAACATGGATCTGGCCTTAAACATGGACATTCCAGTTGGTAGAGAAGATTGCTGTGGGTGGAATAGCCCCACTGACTTGCACATGCCTCCTCTATTTGGCCCTCTGAGGCCACTAGGCACCAGCAGCCACCTGAGCCTACACCTGGCAATGTGCCTCTCTCCTTGCCTGCCTGACCCTTGGAGGGGGTTTCTCTCCCTCTTTTGGTCCCACTGCCACCAATTGGCCATTTCAGGGATTGCGTGCCAAGGGGGCCAGTGCTCCCATCTTTCTATCTTTCCCCATGCTCCCCATTTTAAGGCCTGGACTTGTGCCTGCCTCTGCCGCTAGCTGGCAAACTGGTCTTACTGTCTTACAGCACTTGCACACTCCCAGGGAATTAGCAACCTGGCACTGGACCAGTGCTCTTGGGGATGTTAGCTCTCCAACATGATGTCTGTCTGCAAAAAGGACACAGCTTGTATTACAGGTAACATGCAGTTTGGCATTGGAGTGGGAATTTGAACCTGGCTTTCTCCAGTGAATATCCAGCAGTCTCACAACCTCACCACTCTGGTTCTCTGCTGAGACTCTGTTGTCTCAGATGGACTGACGGTCTCTCAGCCAATCGCTGCAGAGAATTAGCTGTGGAGTCTGCCTTCTGTTGGACCCTTTTAGAATGTTAGTTCTATTTAGTTCTGTTTAGTACCTACACCCCGATGACTGGAAAGTTAGTGTATGTTGGGAGGGGGGCACTGGCTGTCTCAGTCCTGTGTTGCTAATCGACATGTTATTTTCTTCCATAACTGGCATTGATCCTGCAAAGTCATTCTAGCCTCTGGGAGGAAAGAGCAGTAAAGCGATTTTAGAGAGCATAGCCTGCACCAAGAAGCAGAGTGCAAAGTAAGCACTTGGGGGGGGGGGAACCAAAGAGAAGCCAAGGGCCTCTTCCCCATTTGCCCTTTGTGCAGTGCAGTGTTTTAACATTGTGGTACCATAGCCTGGAAGAACCTGCCTTTATTAGGCTGGCCACAGTCTCAGTGCTTCAAGAAATAATGAACCAATCCAATGCAACCAGTCTATGTCTTACACTCCTTTTGTTTCTTTTTCAGATAGCAGATCTGATTATTTTAGCCATCTACACAACAGAGTTTCTGCTGAAATTGTGGTACCATAGCCTGGAAGAACCTGCCTTTATTAGGCTGGCCACAGTCTCAGTGCTTCAAGAAATAATGAACCAATCCAATGCAACCAGTCTATGTCTTACACTCCTTTTGTTTCTTTTTCAGATAGCAGATCTGATTATTTTAGCCATCTACACAACAGAGTTTCTCCTGAACCTTTACCTGGACCCCATAGGTTACTGGAAGGATGGCTATAAGCGATATGATGTAGTTGTCCTTTTCTTTGCTTACCTGTTATATGTTATCGACAGAAGCAATCCACAAAAGTACAGTTTTTGGAACCTGGTGAAAGGATTCCAAGCACTCCGGATTCTCAAACTTGTCTACTATAGCACAGGAATGACGGTAAAGTGATGTCATTTGAAAAAGATACCTTAGATTCATCTCTAATTTCCCTTTTCTTAATTAACTGACAGTCTTTTCTGCACTGACCCTGTTCTTTTCTGTTCAGGATTAATTGCCAGGGCTATTTTTGGGCAGGAACACACAGGAACGACGTTCTGACTGGCTCCCAAGTTGGCCACACCCAGCAGGAACTGATTAGCATAATAGGCCACACACAACAGCAGAAACTTATTAGGATTGGTTACATTAGGGGTGTGTGGCCTAACATGCAAAGGAGTTCCTGCTCCAAAAAAAGCCCTGGGTTTTGACAACAAACAAGGTAAACAGAATAAGAAGCAAAAGGTGGGTGTGGCTGGATGACCACACTTCTGGTAACACGGGGATGTGGCCTAATATGCTAATGAGCTGTGCTGTCATGGGTGTGGCCTAATATGCGAATGAGTTCCTGCTATTGGGTATGGCCTATTATGCTAATAAGTTCCTGCTGGGCTTTTTCTACACAAAGAGCACTGATTAATTCCATTTCCTTTCTTTTAAGGGATGATTCAAATATACAGAAATAACATGTGACAGAGCTGTCTCTGTACTGTGCCGCATCTGATTGTAGGTCAGGATGAATATTATGTCATGTAAAAAGACCACCAGCACACAGAAAACTGGTGTGCCAAGCATAAGGACTTTAGTTTCTTCTTAACATGTCATTTATTCACCACAGGAAAAAAGTTAGTGTGGAGAAACATTATTCCTGTACATTTGAGCTGGCCTCACGTTTCATCAGAGTGAAAAGAACAAATGGTCTTTTTAAAAGAACTAATGGAACCCGCTTCCCAGAGCCATACCCAAACTTCACTGAACAAGAGTGGTGAACTGATCCATCTTGCTTCCTGCTTCTTGAAGTACAGAACTCTGTGATGTAGCCCTTAGCAGGTTTACAAGCTACAGAGGAGCCAAGACAGAGGGAAGCCATCTCTCTGGTCCATCTCTCTGATCAGAAAGATGGATGGTCACAAGCCTAGGAATGGACTTTGGCTAGTACTTCTGGATTGGAGTGGTTTCTTTTCCAAAGACTGCCACCAAGCAGTGCTGGAGGGAGACATCATAGGGATATTGTCTCTCTGATGTGTCCCTCCAACCAGGGCCGACCTGAGGTTTTTTTGCACCCTAGGCGGGGCTACCTTCTGGTGCCCCCCCACGCGCACCCAATTATGGGCTTGCCAACCTCCAGGCGGGGCCTGGAGAGAAGGAACCGCCTCCAGCTCCTGGGCAAAAGACGCCCGGGCTGAGCAGCAGCAGCGAGACCTGCCTCCCTCCCCTGTTGGGCTCCACCATGCCTTCCCCCCTCTCCGCGGCCCAGCCTTGGTCCTCCTTCTCCTCCTCTGAAGTTATTTGGCAAGTTAGGACCTTATTCTTGAGGGCGACTTTACCACAGCAAACTTTCCAGTTTGGCTAATTCTGGAATTGGGTCTCTTACTGACTTCTCAGACTCCTCATATCACCTCTGGTGGGTGAGCCTGAAATGCACCCCAAGAACCAACAAGACTCAAGGTCAATTCTGCTGCCTTTAGAAGCAACCATAAAGAGAAGACTCCAGGCAGACTCCCCCCCCCCAGCCAACTGTGGCTGAGGAGGCTGGCCACCCAAGCGGGATAGAGCTCCTCCTTCCCTCCCAAGCCCACAGACCCATTCCTCGGCAACAGCCCCGCCTCTTCCATTCTCCCTCACCTGGTCCTCGTCTTTGGAAAGCTGGGCGGGCGGGGGGGTAGTTTGGGGCAATTGCGGCCGGTCGTCCAGCCAGCCCCTGTTGCTGAGGAAGCCAGAGAGAGCAACGGTCCTGTTCTTAAGAAGGCAGATCAAGAGGGCTGGTAAAATATGGCCATCTCGCACAACACATTTCACAGTCCCTTTACCAGAAGGGGAAAAAAACCCGAACGCAAGCAAAGCACACCCTTGCCGGAGTTTGCTTCCTTTGAAGTTGTTTGTGGTGGGCGAGAGCCGCATGGTCTGCTTGGCTCCTCCCCCTTGAGCCCTGGTTTCACCCTCCGCTACGCTGAGCGAGAAACAGATCTTCTCAAGTCGATTGCTAGTGCTGGACACGGGATGGGGATCTTCACCCAGCAGCCACATGTACGAGCAACCCCTCTCTCCCTCCTGGCTGTTGCAACATGCGCGAGGCACCCCACCCGGTGGGCTGCCTGTCTCCGGGCAAGCCTGCGGAAGGCGGGGAGCTGTGGGGGAAGCGGCGGCAGCGGCCTTGGCGCAGCGCAAAGACACGTGGGAAGCCAGTGAGGTGCTCTTGGCGCGGCTCCTCCTCACATCCAGGTTCGGGCATAGCCAGCCAGCTCCAGTGGCTGTGCAGGCTTTTGGCGGGAGTTGGGGGCTTTGGCGGGGGGGCGGGTCCTGTTTGGCACCCTTAAGGGCCAGTGCGCTCTAGGCGAATGCCTAGTTCACCTAGCGGGTGAGCCGGCCCTGCCTCCAACTCAGATTTTTGGCTAAGGCTGTACCACATATTATTTTTTAAGATTTGAGTTCATTGATGTGAATTTATGATTTCTGAGTTTCTCTATCAATTGTGAGATTTTGGTAGGGTTGTAGAGATGGGTTGTGTTTTGAACGGAGGGGAATTCTGTGATCCTTTGAAAGGTCTTTTCCTTTAGTAGGATCCCAGTGCAGATAGTTGTTGCTGGCATTGGTAGTATGTGTCTTGTGTGGGACTGGATTTTCTACTAGTCTACTGCCTGCATATCTTTTCAGTGGTGTCCCTCTCTGAGTTGGTAGATGCAGTCTCTGGCTTGGTGTTGGAGGTTCCCAGAGTGATAGTTGTAGGGGATTTCAAGGCTGCCTTTTCTTCTAATGCATAGGACTTTGTGGGTATCTCCAAGATTGTTTGGGGCCGAAAAATGAAAGGGGGCATGTGCTAGATTTAATCTTCTGTGCTAAGGTTCTTGGTGTTTTGGTAAGGAGTCTGAATATACAGCTAGTGCCATGGTCAGATCATTTCCTGCTGGGAAGAGTATACAATATGTATGGGAATAAGGATGTGTCTG